CTGCAGTACTTCCTGCTGCCTATGCCTCAAACGTATTCTTTTACATCTTCAGACCAACTAAAAGTTACTCAGTACCCACTACTCTGCTTTTTGGTACTGACACCTCTCCAACACTTGCCAGATTCTCCCCAGCAAATATAACAGCTTCTGCATCTCCTTTATATAGTGAGGAGGAAACTGTGCTTCTCTCAAATACCGTCTCACCCAGGCACTCCTGCCCTAGGAGGAGGACACCTCAGCCACAACCGATGATGTCTCAGTGGCACCTCAACCAGTGGCTACTGCTTCTCATGCCCATGCCTCCCACTTGGCCCTACTGGGACCCCGGGCATCTTTCAGAACACACCAGAAGCAGCAACAATACCATCATGCTGGCCAGACTCACTCGAGACACACATCAGTGTCCTGTGACCAAACTGACTTTGATCACCCTTTCAGTGATGATTCATCTCACCCACCAACTCAGCTGTTCTCCTCCCCTCTCTTCTGGAGGATGCCCTCCTGCCACTGCCTCCCAATCATGATTATAGGGCTTTTCAAGACCTTTTTTGAAGGGTAGCTGAAGTGTTGGCAATCTTATTGACGAGACAGCCTGACACTCAGCATAAGCTCACCAGCATCCTACACACTACACCAGTGGTCAAACTAGTGCTACCCCTGGACCCTGCCCTCATGGATCCTGCTAAACATCTGTGGCAAACACCAGCCACCAAAAAGGCAGATAAAAAATATTAAGTCTTCTCGCAGGGTGCAGAGTTTCTCTTCACACACTCTCTTGCCAACTCCCTCATAGTTGATGCTGCCAAACAGAGGGCCAAACATACCTTACCAAAATCCACTCCCCCTGGTAAGGAGTGGAAACAGCTTGATCTCATGGGTAGAAAAGCCTACTCATCTGCCTCCCTTCAGCTGCGCATCTTGAACTACACGACTATGCTGGCAAAATATACACATCACATTTTCAAACAGATATCCATCTTTATTAAGTACCTTTCAGAACAAAAAAGGGAACAGTTTAAAACCAGCATAAACGAGGGCTCCCTAATAGCCAGGACAGCCATATAGGCCTCTCTCGACTGTGCTGATACTGCCACTCATTCCCTCACAGCTGCAGTCGTGATGAGGAGAGCATCCTGGCTCTATATATCTGGCTTCCCAAAAAAGGCCCAGACAAGGGTCAAAGATCTCCCATTTGAGAGCCCAAAACTTTTTGTGGAGTACACCGATACTTTGTTGCACTCCCTGAAAGATTCCACAGCCACTCTTCGCACGCTGGGCAACCAGGTTCCTGTGCAGAAATGTAAACAAAATAAGGGCTATATTCAGAGCTACCGACCTGCCTTTTTCAACCACAAAGGCAGTATGACAGAGAAAGCGCCAGCGCCAGAACAGAAGGTGACAATCTGCCGGCCAGCCCATCACGTCCCAGCCGTCTAATAATGGACAAACGGTTTGAAGCTCAGGTCGGGAGTCATCAAATTTGTCCCTCCCCTCCTGTCCTTCATGGCACTCCAATATCCACACAATGCCTATCACCGTTCTATCACCACTGCTGCCTCATAACATCCGATAAGTGGGTGTTGGACATCGTAAAGAACAGGTACTGCATACCGTTCCTGTCCATTCCAAAACCACAACCACCCACCTAATCCCTCTTCAGGGACCCATCTCATGAGTCTATGCTATGCCAAGAAATCAACCACTTGCTCTCCATCGAAGCAGTGGAACACATTCCCCACCAGTACTGCAATACTGGCTTTTATTCCCGGTATTTCTTCACGGAAAAGAAGCCAGGGGGATGGAGGCCAGTCTTAGATCTCAGAGGCCTCAAAGGCATGTCCTTTTCCAATGCTTCCACATGGTTACCCTCTCCACCATTATTCCCTCCTTCAACAAAGACAACTGGTTGGTGACTCTGCATATTTCCATGTGCCTATCCACCCTGCACACAGGAAATACTTCAGATTTACTGTGGGTAGACAAGACTTCCAGTACTTAGTACTCTCCTTTGGCCTCTCCACTGCACCAAGGGTATTCTCCAAGGTACTGGCAGTAGTTGCAGCTTATCTGCGCAGGCAGGGAGTGTCCATCTTCCCTTATCTGGACGACTGCCTTATAAAGGCCCACTCCCTCCAACAGACATAAGAATCAATCAATTCCACCATGAACTCTTTCGATCCCTAGGTCTCCAGGTAAACCTCTCAAAAAGTCAATTTGAACCAACCCAGATGCTAGAGTTTATAGGGGCTCAATTAGATTGCACCACTGCATGTCTGCCCCATCACAGATTCCTAGCTATATGGGAGCTTATCCAACTCCAATTCACAGCTCCCCAACTACCTGCCACAGCATGTCTCCAGCTTCTAGACCATATGGCAGCAGCCACTACTATAGCCCTCATGCCAGATTGCATATGAGACCACTACAACACTGGCTCAGCACAGTATACAGACCATGAGAAAACAGCCTCCGCAAGTTGGTCTCAGTGCCACTCACCATCAGGAAGTTGCTCCAGTGGTAGTTGAATGCCCAAAATGTGTGCACTGGGATCTCCTTCCACAAACAAGCTCCCTCCTTTATGATCACCACAGATGCATCCCAACTAGGCTGGGGAACCCACCTAGGCACCCTTACCACACAAGCCCTCTGGTCACCCGCAGAGACCACTCTGCATATCAATATCCTCGAGCTCCACGTAGTATTCTATGCCTGCCATCATTTCTGAGATCACATCTCCAATTCCACTGTGCAGATCTTTACAGACAACTAAGCTGCAATGTTCTGCATCAACAGGCAGGGAGGGGTCAGATCTTACCCCCTCTGCAAGGAAGCAGTCCATCTCTGGACCTGGTGCATTGCACACAACATAACCTTAATTGCCTCAAACTTTGCAGGCAAAGACAACACAACAGTGGACTCCCT